TACCAAGAAGAGTCGGGCTGCATTATCTCTGGAGCTGCCCTTCAAGTAGTTGCAGGCTGCTGTTAGATCACCCCAGCCTCCTCTTTGCCAGGATGAACAAGCCCAATTCCTTCCACCTCTTTCAAAGGTCATGTGCTCCAGACCCCTGACCTCCTTTATAGCCCTCCACTGGGCCCCCTCCAGTTTGTCTATATCTGCCTTAAACTGGAGACCCTAAAATTGGACACAGTATTCAAGATGCAACTGCATCAATGCCAAGGAGGTGGGAATACCTCCTCTGGTTTGCTGGCCGCACTCCCTGATAGGAAGTCTGTCCTATTACATACCGTGATTAAGTTCACTCAGAGGCAGCACAGTGGCAAAATCTTCTGTTTAATGTGTCGGGTGAATGTACTTTTTAAAACCATTCACAAGGCAAAGTAGATAATTATTGTGATCATTGATGTAGGCAAGGAAGTTAGCGGGTTTTTGCAATTTTCTGCTTTTTGGTGCTGCTGTTCCTTATACAGATGAATTTTGTCCTCAAAAAATAAACTTCTGGTGATTTTGTAGTTGCGAATATTAAAGAACAAAAAAGAGATATCTGAGAATTGTGATGAACTGTGTGAATTCCAGGTAATTTTGCAGCAAAACATTCTGAACTGTAAATCAAAATAGCAGGGGTGTGATTTTTCTGCGTATCCAACCTATTTCTTGGTGGATGGAAACTTTTTATTGCTGACCCATTCTTAGCACAAAAAGTAACTTTAAATGCAAGCTCTCTGTGCCCAAAAATTTTGATTGTAGTTTGAACCGCTTTGCGTGGGTAGTAACTCCTTGCAAGTGAACACTTATACCAGTGTAAATGAGACCTTACTTGGCCCATTTTTAATTCTTGGTTAAAACTTTTGTACAGCAACGGTTTTATAACAGTTCCCATACAGTCAAGCTTGCTCTCTTTTGTATTCCTGTTGTCTGTGTTAACAGCCTTCTAGCTAGAGTGGAGGCACAAATGTCACTGTTTGACAGCCTGTTCTCTGGACAAGTCACAGAGCATCAGAATATAAGAATCATCCTGTGAGTTCAGACCAATGGTCCATCTTGCCCAGTATGTTCTCTCTGACAGTGCCATTAGTAAAGAGAGGTGGTTTAGAGAGAGCATATGAGTCTTGTCTCTTCCTATGTGCCTGTAATCTTAGTCTCTGACATATCAGGTCATGCTGCTTTGTAATTTGAAAACATCTGCTTCTACCAGCATTTAGGGAATAAGGTGTAAAACAGTCATTAGCAGAACACTGCAAATAACAGTGATGGAGCTAAGCAGGGTTTCTGGAGTTCCAGCCTTGTGGACAACAGATAGTTGCATGAGGACTGTTTTCTTTCTTTTCCCCCTGTCTCAGCTGAGTGATCTCTCACGCATGCACGCTCTCTTTTTTTTTTTTCATGGTTTTTAAGCAATATGCTATCTGGAAGGGACCTTGAAGGGACGTTTTACACTGAGGAGTGCCTTTATGACGAAATCTTTCCTTCCCAAATGTACCCTTCTCTCTTTATAGATGGACCTGATACATCAGTCCCACGCTGATGTATATACCAGATGGCATACCAGTGAAAAGCAGCTTATGCATTTTTATTTTTTTTTTTAATTCAGCAACTGTGGTAATTTACGGTAATGCTTTAGTAGTTCCCTGGGGAAGGGGAAAAAATGTACCTGTTTAAACAGGTACTTTATTGCTTTAATGTAGAGCAGTGACTGTTGGGCCATGTAACAAGGCTGAGAAATGGTGGTCAGGCAGATTCTCAGAAGTGATACCAAGAGAACGGAGGTCCTGTCTGGTCTGTGCACATGCTAAAGTCCAGCTCATTCCTGTATTAGGGAATTTGTGACTAATACATGTAGAATGAATTTTTCAGGAGAGCAGACCTCACCTAATGTTTGAGGCACTTTCCTGAGAATACCCAGATACCAGAATGTATCGGGAGGCTGGAAATCAGTGAAAATAGAAGGCTAGATAGATTGCTTGAGACTTGTTTAGTGATGCTGTCTGTTTTCTGTCTCATATAATGCTATGTTAAGACCCAGGCAGCTGCAGAGAACCAGCACTGAGCTATGTAGTCCTCCTGAACAGGTTTTCAAAGCTGACTATTTTTCCATTATTTACTTTAACCCCATCACTTTTAAGTATAACTTAATCTCTTCCAGCGCCTTGGGCAGCTCCTTATTTACCACACACTTCTTTCAACTGGAAGAAAAGCTGCTTTGTTTCTAGGGTGAAATTTTATTCCTTTGAATTTATAGTGTGTTAAATCACCGGTAAAATGAGTCCTGTGTCACCATACCAGCTCTAGAATCTGTAACATATAGTTGTTACCTAGACCTTATACTTGGCCCTTGGCACAAGTGTTGATTTTAGTAACAGCAGCACTCTCCACCAGTACAAAGTTGTCGAGCAGATACTTTACACTGTGAACTGCTCAGCTATTACAGTCTTGCAGTATGTGAAAGAATCATGGCTAGTACTGTGGGACTGCCAAGCTCTAGAATTAATCTTGGGGAATGAAAATAGAACCAAATCTTCAGGCTTCTTGCTCGTCATCCAACAGGCCAAGCACGTAGGACAGATTCAATTCAGACTTGGCCCCAAATTTGTCTAAAATAAAAGTCTATCAGTCATGTTCCTATCTTGCTTTTGTAATTACCGTGTATTCTGATTAACTGAAACAAAAACCCATTTTGTTTGACGTAACTGTCAAATGAATACTGCTGCTTTGTGAGAGTCTAACATTGGCTAAAGCTGACTATGGACAGAAATGAGAACTTGCTTCACTTCCTTTCATTCTTTAGGCTAAGAGAAATGAGAGTACATGAAGACACACAGGCACAAGAAAATTGTTGTTCAAAATCCTATACAAGCTAATGTGCTTTAGTAGCCTAGGAAGAGAAATTTGACCCTTTTTAATGGCAGATTTTCTAAATTCAACTGCCCATTTAAAAGCCATATAAGAAAAGGACAGAAGACGCTTTACTTTGGAAAATACAACCTATTCTTATTCTCAAAAGGACGCATGAAAGTACAATATGGTTTGTGTAACATTTAGCCTGAGTGATGCTGCTCCTGATTCAATGCTAGAGGGATGAAGTTGGCCTGAGGTTCCAGATCCTGGAATTCAGAGGTGGGCTTGAAATTTTTAACTGAGGCCTGTGTGGAGGATTAAACAGTTTACTGATAGAATCTCCAAATCATCTAGTCTGCCACAGCATCCATGCAGACCACTATGATACGGTAATTGTTTAGATTCATGCCATTTCAAACCTTTCATTAATTTATAATATAAACCTTAATATTACATTTATGTCCTAGAACATCACAAGATTTATTATTTAATGTCTATACCATGTTTAAATCAGATAATTAGATTACAGAATAGCCTCTGCCACTGGCCAAAAACTGATACGGAATATTCTGAGCCTCAAAACCAGGCACATCAAAATAAAGGCCTCTTTAAAAAATTACTGGTTTACACATGAATTTGTGGTACAGTGCCAGATTATCAAAGATGTGCAGTTCAGGAAAATTATATTTTCTTAACCCAGCTTTATCTAAATTTTAGATGGCAGACCGTTTAAGTCAGGAGAGCTATGATTTGTAGAAGAGTACAGTAGATTTTTGTGTTGTAAACAAACCAAGGAAGGGTAAGCAACTGAACAAAAAGGACAGTGGTACCACGTTGGCTGGCATATGATGGTCACAAGCACATTCTGCTTCCGCTGTATCCCTGAGTTAAGCCTGGCCAGCTCTGTGGAAACCTCTGGAGCTGAAAGCAGGTTTGAATGGGTAGATGTGAATCCTTGTAACATGCACCACAAAACTACTCCTGTATGGAACATTCCTGTCCTCTTCAGTAGTTTCCAGTTCTAACACATTATAATGAGCTGGGATGCTGCCCTAAAGACCCATCCTCTAGGCTGTATGGAAGGGCTGGCAACAAGCAGAAAGCTTTTTTAAATGTTTGTTTCCTCCAGTTTTGGCATCTGTTCGGAGCCCGTCCAGACTCCCCCTTTCCGCTACAAGAGGACAGACGCCAATCTGTGAGCCGGCAGCCTTCATTCACGTACTCAGAGTGGACAGAGGATAAAAATGAGGATGACTTCCTAGATTTGGATCCTGTACCAGAGACTCCGGTCTTTGACTGCGTAATGGACATTAAAGCGGAGACAGATCCAGCTACTCTAACGGTTAAATCCGTGGGCTTGCAAGAAAGGTAGGGTAGATGTGACTATTAATAGAGGAAAGTCTGGTCCCAGATTTTGTGGATTTAGGGGTTCTGTGCCTAGTAAAAAACTTCATTGCCTTCATGAATTTCACTTTAAGATGTGGTTATAAAGCCAAGTACCTGCATTATTTCCTGTCTTGTTTTCAGTCCAGTCATAAGCATATTAGCCAAAACCCATAGTTTCTAGACAGCTATCAACAAGTGTTATTCAAAAGCATAATTTCTTTCCTTTAAAATAGCCATTTCCTTTAAAATAGCCATTGTCAGCCATGCTGACAATGATGGGTCAGTCTGTTATGCTGTAAGCAAACTCCAATCACTCTGTTTTGCAGGAGAGGTTCAAATGTTTCACTCACACTGGATATGTGTACCCCAGGCTGTTCTGAGCAAGGTTTTGGCTATATCATGTCACCACGGTCAGTCTCTTGCCATTTCCCACGATGGCAACTGCATAGCATGAAATCCACTATAGGGCCACAAAAGCGTTTACTTCTGAAAAGGGGTGGATCTTGTTAATTTTTTTCTTTATTCCTTTCTCCAAAAGCAAACCATGGGACAAGTAATAATTTGCAATAATTCTCATATAAATGGGTTAGTCCAAAAGTAAATGAATTCCTTTGACATTAACTGAGCACTTAAACTTCAGGGTTAGCTGGTGTTCGCTCCTTGAACCAGCAGGGCAATGGAGCTTCTCAGAAAGATTCACAGCTGGGAAAAGGCAATTTTAAGATAAAAGGAAGATAGGAATGATGCAGCATTGATTTGTGTTGTCTGAGTGAAGATGGAGAAATGCATCTCACAGAAAGGTCACCTGTAATGGGTGAACTTCAAAAGGCCCAGAGGTGGGTGAATTCCAGAGTGTGTGAATGGGGGAATGTTCAGTGGAGTTACTGGGTGTTCTGTTGGACTGAACTATCCTTATACTTTCATCCATAAGATTATTTTATTGCACTTTGCCAGTGTGTCTGTGTGTGTGAGTGAGTGGATGAGTGAAAGGAAGTACATCAGACTTAACAACCTCATGTCTGAGGCTGAGGTTGATTTAAGGTTCCTTTCCTTTCTTCTGTGTACCACAGGAAGACTGAATTTATATTGTTGGCAGGCTGCATCTTTTTTCTGTTCTGTGTTCTTTCAGTTGTCTTAGTGAAAGAGAACAAAGATCTTGAGGATAGAAATCCCATAAAGAAATTCTACAAAGGTGATGATGTTAAAAGAATGAGGTTACTGAAGGGCCAAACATAGCAAAGTATCACCTTTCTTTATTTCTAGGTTTTCAAGCTTGATTGGAGTTCTAACCGTAGTTAATCCTCATATCTAAAACTTAAAGGGCAGACCTTAGATATTTATTTTTTTTAAAGTATGATGCTGAGTTTCCAAAATGTCACATGACACAGTAAAAGGGAATGCTACAGAAGAGGCTTTTAATTTGCACTCTGTGAGATTAGAATGTTTTTTCTCACTTTTTAGTCTTGGTTACAACATCTGTCCTAAAATGTCCTACCTTTTATTGTTATAATCTTCTACTTTAAACATGAGATTGCAGTAACCTCTTGGCCTTGTCCCTGAACCTGCTGCTCTCAGTGACTTTTGCCATTGTTTTACATTATGGGCATGATTGGTCTTGAAATGCCTCATCATCCCTGATTTCATTCCATCTCTCATCTTAAAGGTGCTGACATTTCTTCTCAAGTGACTGCTAGCCTGCAGGAAAGATACTCGCTGCTTCAAGAGAAGTGGGGAATATCAATTGATTCAAGTAATGAGTTACAATTTAAAAAACTGTCAAAGAAGTAGAGGTAGGAAAAAGGAAGCAATTGCTTGAAGTGCTTACACTAGGTAAACATGTACACTTAAGATGTGTATGTTGAAAACAAGTTTGTTTTACGAGTGCTTAAGAAGCCGGATATCATTTCAGGTTTGGGCTGTGCTCTGACAGATTTCATTTACATCAAGCATTGGTCATTCTTCCTTTGTTTGGTATTATGTTGAATTACCTTCCTATCCCTTTTTTGCATCCATTCTGCTTCTCCATCTTACTTCCCTCTCATTCTTAACCACCTATGCCATTAGAAGGGTAGTCACTAGCTAAATTCAAACAGCACTGAATGTTACTCTTAAGAAGAAACAATCGCATTTCCTCATGCTGAAGAACTATTAACATCTCTATGTATGTAGCCTCTTCTACCTTAAAAGAACCAAAAGCATTCGTTATCAAATGCATCTATTTCTGGGGAAGAATGTAGTAGCTATTTAACAGCACACAGGGTGGGGTCAAAATCTTTTGAAAGGTGTCACTAAAGATTCAGTGTTGACCACTAATGGTCATGTTTCATCCAAAATCATTTCCCTATGACTGTGAATCATAGCAGGAGGCTAGCTGCACATTCTTTTGGAAAAACTCCTGAATCCAGAAACGGGCAGTGATCCAAGTAACAACTTCTGCTGTCATCTTTGTGAGCTAGACATGCCTGCATGTTTGCATGGTTTTTCATTAGCTCCTGCAAACACCTCCCAGCTAGATTTTGCCAGTTGAGAGTCATCAAAAATAGGTTTACTGCGTGGATGCATAGAACACTCCATGTAGTAATCATCATATTGTACGATTTTATTATTATGTTAAAGATATTTAAATATAGATTCACTGATGGCATTTGAATCTTACTTTTGTCTGTAACATGCGAGATTGACAGAAGCTCAGAAATGCTTTAAAATGGTATTCATTAAACAATGCAGGTATTTTGAGTTTTTTGTTTTATTGTGTGGCTAACAAATAAAAGCCACTAAAAATTCTACACTCAACAGCATCTCTGTTTTTAATGTGACTGTTAAAATGTTGGGCCCTTCATTTTACCTTTCTTGTGATGTACCATTGTGGAAAGAAAGTTTTTCAGACAGAAAAACTATTTGCTGTAATGTTTGGCATCTCATGTCTTTGTTATTTATTTATTTTTAAATTTAATTTGTTAATGAACTAATTTATTAATGAACTGGTAATGTTTATCCCAAGATCTTGCCCTACTGCGGCCTGACAAAAACTACAACCAATATTTTCACCTCTGGTGTCTAAAATATTGGTCCATATTCAAGTATCTGAAAATATGGTGTGATTTCGACAAGTATGAAAACTGTCCTTCAGTTGCCTGCTCAACATCTTTGGCAAGCAAGTTGCTAAGTGACACAGTATGCAGTTACCTTACCACAGACAGCACTTTGAAAGTGTTGGCCTTCATAGTCCGGTGTACAAAATCATCTTCTGCTCTTGTCTACACAAGAAGCTTCATCCATTTTTTACAGTTAGTGACCATAATGTACAAAACAGAACCAGCTGGGTTGCTTTTCAGATTTGCCATTCATCTGTCATTGGGACTGTATCCATTGCTGACAATGATGGGTCAGTCTGTTATGCTGTAAGCAAACTCCAATCACTCTGTTTTGCAGGAGAGGTTCAAATGTTTCACTCACACTGGATATGTGTACCCCAGGCTGTTCTGAGCAAGGTTTTGGCTATATCATGTCACCACGGGAACAGTCAGCCCAAGAATATCTCCAGACGGCATCAAATGTCCTTACTGAAGAGGAACTGCACAAGAAAGCATTGGATCCTTTCATACTCCAGGCAGAGTTCTTTGTGAGTGTCTGACCTCTCTATTCTAGGAGCATCAGAAAAATAGGATGTTACCTCTCTTCTATGAACCTTGCTATTATTTTCTGCAAGTCTAAAATTAGTATGTGCAAACTCAATTTCCATCAGTGAAGTATTTAATGCAATTCTGAAATTTGTCATCCCATGGAATGACAATGTCTGAAAGCTTTCAGTGCTGTTGTCACTTAAAAACTAGAAAATTGTTTCTGGCAACAACAAAAAAAGCTTTCTTTCCTTCCCTCTCTTTCCTTCCCTCTCTTTCCTTCCCTCTCTTTCCTTCCCTCTCTTTCCTTCCCTCTCTTTCCTTCCCTCTCTTTCCTTCCCTCTCTTTCCTTCCCTCTCGGCATGCTACTTTTTAACAAAAAAAAATCAAAAATTTTCACTAAGGTACAGAAGAAAAGCCAAGTTTGCTATAAGCATAATTTATGAAATGTGTCTGGAGTTGCCCTAGGGATTAAATTAGTCCAAGTGCATGCTCTTTGCTGTTGAATGCTTGGCATGGAGCTACTTGCCAAGCCTGAATGTTCTTCAGATAACTGAAGCACAAGATGACTATGTCACTCAGCAGGAGCCATAGAAAGTATATCTTACTGTGGTTTTTTTCTGCACAAAAATCATTTACTAGTTGTAAACGGCTCTGTCAGTTGCTTTTAGGAATATGAATTATGTTCACTGTATCCATGGTCACTTTGGGAGAAAGAATTCTTTGCCTCATTTTGAGGAAAAAATACACGTGCACAGGTGAAGCAAGCAGTTGAAAATTGGATTTCTACGTAGTTTAGGATAAAGGCCAGATACATTTCGGTGTGTTGACTACACTGGCTTTTTAAATCTTTGCACTCCGTGAGCCTCTTCTCTAGCTGCTTGAGTGTCTGTATGATAGGCGTTGTCATGTTTATTATACATGGAAAAAAAAAAATGCAAAATGCTGCAGTTGCTATGAGTATTGTGTCTACTAGGCAGGGTTGTAAATTCATGCACAAGATGGGAGGTAACCGGGGCACAGTCTTTGCATGCTGGGGTATTTCAAAGCACATGATCAAGAGCTACTGAAGTTAATGCTGCCAAGTCAAATATTCTCTTAAGCATGGATTCTCAGCAGAGCAGGGGGAAGGTGATGTTTCGCAACATAACAGCCCATTCAGCCTGTCCTCTTTATGACTTGCAAGGGTCTGAAAGAGCAGGAGTAACACTTGCTGTCCTCCTTCCTTGTGCAATTTCGGGGTTGGTTTTTTTCACTTCAAAAGCATGGCGGGAGATGAAATAGTCTGGACTTCTGTTTTAAAATAGACCACCAGATATCTGTGGCCCTTAATTCACTTAGTACTGTACAAGTTGAAGAAAAGCAGCTTTTGTGTAGACAAGCCCTGATTCTTTCAAAGTAAAGCATCTGTTGCTGTTCTAGGGAGGAAATGTTCACTTAGTGAGTGCCTGAATTGACTGCTGAACAAGTCCACATACAGTTTCATCAGTCTCTGAGGTGCACTGTAGCTTTCAAGCAAAGAAAATAATGTTAAAAGTAGGGGAAAAAATGCTTAATTTCTCTGAGATATTTTGAATTAGTTTTCCTGGTGTTCAGAAAAATCATTCAACAACCAAACTATCCCAAAGTAATTTCCATTCTTTAATGAAAACTGAAAAAGCATAGATAAAAATGCTATGTAATCAAAATGTCATTTCTGTAATTAAAAATTGTAAACTAGTGGGGACTTTTTTATGAAACAGTCATCACCAGCTAGCTCTGCATCATGTATTTTCAGTCTGTCTAACCTACTTGGTTTTCAAAGTCCAGACCCACAATGAAGCAAGCAGCTGTGTTTCATTTTTGAAGAAAAGTCAGAGGGGATGTCACTTGCAGAGCTAAGTCCTGAAATTCTTACAAGATTCAGAGTTTTTATTCAAGCAGAAGTCATGTTGATTTCACCAAGAATTTGCTTGAGCAGTGAATGACTAAGTCCCAAAGACAGACCATGGAGCTTGGCTCAAGTAGAGTTTTGGGTGACTCAATATCAAGTAGCAATTGAGGAAAACATGAAGGTTTCATTCCCATGCAGTTCCCCAAATTGATAGGAAACTACTTCAACAAAATGTTTTTTTTTATCATCAGCTGCCTCTGGTTAAGCCCAACAGTATGCTCAGAGCTGTGTAAGAGGAAGAAAACAGGTAGTCAGTCTTCTGAAGCTCCAGAATTTAACATAGTCCATAGCTCTGCTCATCTTAATTTCTTCCCTGTGTGAGGTTTGTCTTACTCAACCTTGACTCCTATTACCAGTAAGTCCATTAGTGGTCTTTCAAATCCATTGTGCAGCAGCTGGGATGACCAGCTCTGCTCCCAAGCTCCCATGAGCCTTTACTCTGCTGAGCCTGGTTGACACATCCATCTCCTCACATGCCCACAGACTCTAGTTGGTGGAAGGTTCCTGTTTGTTCCTGCCTGGTGTTGGCCACTTACTTGCAGAAGATGAGTAGGGGGGAATAAGAAGCCCCTCCATCTTTGTGTGTTCTTTGGGTCAGTAGTGTAGAGAGCAGGTAATCCCTGAACACCTGTTTGCTGTCCTTGCCCGTGGAGCTTTTAAGTGTGGTGAGCAAAAAGAGTGACACTCCCCCCAGCTCCACAGAGTCAGGTCAGTACTCCAACCTGTCATAATGTGTGTCATAATTTGTTGCTGGTGAAAGTCACTAGTAAATTATTTCCTTCCACCCTCAGAGAGGAAGAAGGCATGTGAGTCAGAAAAGATGGTGTCTGAGGTCCATTGCTTTTGGAGCAGGGTATCTTACCTACCACCTTTTGCTTATTTCTGTGCCTATACTTGCAATTCAGTTCTAATAATATTAGGAGCTAACATAATGCTCTCGTGCGTATTACTCAATGAATTAGTCACTATGAGTGTTTTCATATTCAGGATTTCAGAAAAGAAAGCCAGTGACAGTAAAAGGAAACATCAATCGTATTTTGGTGGTAAATTTCTAGAAGTACTGTACCATATGTCTCAGTTGACTTCATCACTTTGCCTCTCTCACAGGCAGGATGTAATGGGCTTGGATTTTTTTATTCCTCTTGTGAATCTAATAATACTACCTGCTGTGTCTTGTGGTTTGTTTGGTTTTTTTAACAGGAAATTCCAATGAACTTTGTGGATCCAAAGGAGTATGATATTCCAGGCTTAGTGCGTAAGAATCGCTACAAAACAATTCTCCCAAGTAAGTTTCCTGCTTTTTAAGCCACTGAGGCAGGCTGGTTTATTCCACATGCTGAAAGGCTTCACTTTCCTTTCCAGAATGCATCAAGGGTGCTATCACTACCATTGTATTGGTACTGTATTGTCCAAAGGCCATATTTATGAAGCAGCAACGTGGCTTCCAAGCATAAATCAAATTTCAAGAGGTACAGAACATGAAGAACCTGAGATTCACTGAACATCAGCAGCACTTAGATTTTTAAATCATTAGAATTGCATCATTTGGTGCTGCTTAAAAATTCTAGCCAAGAATTTAGTGTGTTTATTCAGATATTGCTTTGTGGTTTCTTTGATTAAACTCTTTAGAAGGATTACATGTTAGCAATGTTATTTTCCCGACTGATGTTTTTGTCAGATTTACACCTCAAATGTGAACTGAGAATATTTGGAGTTGGCCTGATGGCATTAAGATGATACAGAAAATCAAAATCTTTTTCTTTTCTGTTACACTATTTTTATTTGTAGCCAGGAGTATGAGTTTTGAGAAACATTTTGGTACAAATTTTTACAAGTGTCATCGTTTTCCCCTGTGTCATACTTAAAGTTACTTTGAAAAGTGATATGATGAGATGTCATGCCTCTTTGTTTGCTCTAAGCCATTGTTGGAAGACGCCACCATGAGCCACAACAGCTCTATTTGCAAAGCGCAAAAGGTTCAGTGTCAGGTTAGCAAAGTTCAGAGAAGTCAAAAATGTCCTCAGCTATACCTGTCATTTTAGTCAATCAATCTGCATTGGAAATGATTCCAGAAGAGGTTTTTTATCTACATTTATAACTCCAGTGGCTGCAGCCAATGATCCAATTTGCGCAACCTATCTGATGACTTTGTACTCCACCTTAGAGCGAAAGTGTAAAAACATTCAGCCATGTTTCACAATTTCTGTACTAATGACTGAAGTGAATCATTCATGTATTAATTCACTGTTTTTGCTGGAAAGGGAAGATTGCAAAAGTGGCTAGTGATTTCAGATACCTGAACTGCTAGATTAAAGTGATCTGTATATTCTAAATTTGGTATCTAATGCGTACTTTGAGAACTGGATCCATTTTAAATACCTTATATTGGATTTTTAAGCTCAAATATCAGAATTGCTGTCATTTTGAACACCCTGTTCCAGAGTTGTAATCAGCTGGCCCACTGTCATATGTTTTTACAAATTATTATTCAGTGGGTTAATTATTTGCTGCAAGCATAATCTGAGCCATGTGGGTATCTGCAAGCAGCCATTGTTGTCGCTTTGACCTCTCCAGATAAGATAACTAGTTTCTAACCTGCCATGCAGATGACATCAACTTGGGCAGAAGTGTTGATCTGCTGGAGGGTAGGAAGGCTCTACAGAGGGATCTGGACAGGCTGGATTGATGGGCCAAGGCCAACTGTATGAGGTTCAACACGGCTAAGTGCCAGGTCCTGCACATGAGTCACAAGAAACCCATGCAACACCACAGGCTTGGGGAGAAGTGGCTAGAAAGCTGCTTGGTGGTAAAGGACCTGGGGATGCTGGCTGACAGCCAGCTGAACATGAGCTAGCAGTGTGCCCAGGTGGCCAAGAAGGCCTGTATCAGAAACAGTGAGGTCAGCAGGAGTAGGGAAGCAATCGTCCCCCTGTACTCAGTTCTGGTGAGGCCACACTTTCAATACTGTAACAAGTAACAAGCAATAGGACAACAGGAAATGGCCTCAAGTTGCACCAGGGGAGGTTTAGATTGGATATTAGAAAAAAGTGTTATCTATCAGGCACTGGAAAAGGCTGCCCTGGGGAAGTGGTGGACTCATCATCCCTGGAGGTATTTAAAAGATGTATAGATGTGGTACTTAGGAACATGGTTTAGTGGTGGACTTGGCAGTGTTAGGTTTACAGTTGGACTTGATGATCTTAAAGGTCTTTTCCAACCTAAATAATTCTGTGATTCTCTGACTCCAAGGATTAGAAGGCTTATTCCAAGTTCATTATGATCTGAATATTTTTTTTTCTGAATTAATTCCAAAACTAGTAACCTCTATGCAGCTTTGTCCCTGGCTGTGACCAAAGGATGGCTTGATATTGCTGAGGAAAGAAGAGGGCTGACTGTTCACTTTTATCCAACTACCTCCATTTTGAAAGGCTTGGTGCTGTCAGTAAAGAGGCTAGCAAGGAGAGCTAAACATCCCCTTTATGCTTCAAAGCTGAGGATCCCAGTAAACTATCTATGCACAAAGTAGGAGAGGGAACCAGAGGCAAGATGAAGGAGAGTCCAGTGCTTTTCAGGCTTTGACCATCCACTGACTTTTTTGTTTCTTGCCTGACCAAAGGTAGTCTATGCTGCCTTGAGTATCTACCTAGCATTCTTCCAAGTTCTAGCTGCAGAATGCAGTAATGGCAGGAGCTCCTGAAGAAGCTGCAGTAGAACAGACTCAGACGAGTGATTATCATAGGGAACAGCAGATGCTTGATTACCAAACTAGAGTCAAACCCAAAATCTGAATTAAATAAGCAACTAAAATTCCCTTAACAGCTGCATTGCCAGAATCCATCTAGGCAGTTATCATTAAAAGGTAAGCAGTCACTTAAGATAATGATCAGTTCATGAGCTAGCAGTGTGCCCAGGTGGCCAAGAAGGCCTGTATCAGAAACAGTGAGGTCAGCAGGAGTAGGGAAGCAATCGTCCCCCTGTACTCAGTTCTGGTGAGGCCACACTTTCAATACTGTAACAAGTAACAAGCAATAGGACAACAGGAAATGGCCTCAAGTTGCACCAGGGGAGGTTTAGATTGGATATTAGAAAAAAGTGTTATCTATCAGGCACTGGAAAAGGCTGCCCTGGGGAAGTGGTGGACTCATCATCCCTGGAGGTATTTAAAAGATGTATAGATGTGGTACTTAGGAACATGGTTTAGTGGTGGACTTGGCAGTGTTAGGTTTACAGTTGGACTTGATGATCTTAAAGGTCTTTTCCAACCTAAATAATTCTGTGATTCTCTGACTCCAAGGATTAGAAGGCTTATTCCAAGTTCATTATGATCTGAATATTTTTTTTTCTGAATTAATTCCAAAACTAGTAACCTCTATGCAGCTTTGTCCCTGGCTGTGACCAAAGGATGGCTTGATATTGCTGAGGAAAGAAGAGGGCTGACTGTTCACTTTTATCCAACTACCTCCATTTTGAAAGGCTTGGTGCTGTCAGTAAAGAGGCTAGCAAGGAGAGCTAAACATCCCCTTTATGCTTCAAAGCTGAGGATCCCAGTAAACTATCTATGCACAAAGTAGGAGAGGGAACCAGAGGCAAGATGAAGGAGAGTCCAGTGCTTTTCAGGCTTTGACCATCCACTGACTTTTTTGTTTCTTGCCTGACCAAAGGTAGTCTATGCTGCCTTGAGTATCTACCTAGCATTCTTCCAAGTTCTAGCTGCAGAATGCAGTAATGGCAGGAGCTCCTGAAGAAGCTGCAGTAGAACAGACTCAGACCAGTGATTATCATAGGGAACAGCAGATGCTTGATTACCAAACTAGAGTCAAACCCAAAATCTGAATTAAATAAGCAACTAAAATTCCCTTAACAGCTGCATTGCCAGAATCCATCTAGGCAGTTATCATTAAAAGGTAAGCAGTCACTTAAGATAATGATCAGTTACTTGCAATCCTAGAGTTGATTCTAGTGAGAAACATGGTAATAGTCTGTAATTCATTTCATTTATATTTCTTTTGTGGTAAATTCTTTTTGCAGATTCTCCAATATTGCTGTTGGTAGTAAAATGGCTTAAAAGGTGGCTTTTTGATGGCAGAAGGATGTTTTTGGGAAAATGCCAAGATAAGGAGGTTGATTTGGATATTTCATAACTATGAATTTGTTTGCAGACAGTCCTTTTCTGGGGATGAGTCCTATGGTATTGCCTGGAAAATTACAATTTTTCTCTAAGGTGCTTGGAGGCACTTTTTGAATATATAGAAAAGGATGTTCTTGTTATAGAATTCCAGAGGTGGCAAGAACTTATTGGAGCATGTTGGATACCAATTTCATTGAATCCTTTTCTCAGGAGTAACATTTAGACAGACTTTTTAAATTTCTACGTAGGTCTATTGCTTTTACACCATTTTAAGTTATGCAAAACATTTCAGTTAAGTTTAGCAAGTTCCTCTAAAATGTCAGGCACAGTATCAACACAAAATGGCCATAAAAGAAAAATATAGCTGACATTATTTGGTTTCTTAGAGACACAGACTACTGCTGTTCTTTTAAAGGCATGGTTTTGTCTTGAACCTGGCCTGTGCACTGTTTTTTTCCTGGGTAAATTGTTTTCATTGAGAGTAGGATTTGATTTTGCTTAAATGCTTCTCTATTGAAAATCTGAAATTCAGACTGCAAACTGTTATATTAAAGTCTTGTTATGATTTTTTTTTTAAAGAAGGAGTTATTCCTGTTCATATATTTTTAAGAGATGCAATTCAGCTTAGGTTACACTTTCTGCAAAACAAAGCACATTCTTGTGTCAACAATGTGTTAATAGGCCTCTCTTACATGAAGTAAGGTTGCAACTGTTTACTAACTGCCTATACTGCCTTAACACATGTAAATACTATGTTAACAGAAAAATCACAAGCCAAGTATTATAATTTAAAGTAAAAGCATGTTCTGAATAATGTTTTAATATTTGTGGATACAGCAATAACAAAGTCCACGGTGAAAAGTAACTCAAATTCTATTGCAGTTGAAGAATACTAAAAGCAGTTGGTGCTTAAAAGTCTGTGGCACCTGTTGATAGAGTTCTTCAGATCTGTTTTATTTCTCCCCAAAGACACACCATGAGATGGACAATGTAGTGTTATTGCTGCTATTAGTAGGGAAAAATCATGTAATCGTTACTGAAACTTCAGCAGACTCCATGGATGACTGCATAAAACCCAAGCAAAGGAACTTCAGGCAAGGGGTCTAACTACCCACTCCAGTGACATTTGAATAAAACATCTGACAACCAATGTCACCTTTTTAATGGTGTGATGTGTTGCAGGCTCTCAGAATTACTGATTAAAAAGCAAATTTTTATCTCTTGTCTCATCATCTTCCCAGCACTAGAGGGGTAAGCAAAGTTGAGCAGGAGGGAACTGTATTAGGAACTCCCTGGTTTCAGTGCTTCTGTGCTAGAAAACAATATCTTTGTTAATATCTTTGCTTTGCGGATCATATAATAGATAACATGAATCTGTTCTGACTACAGTGTTTCATGCTGAGTCTGTGTAGTACAGTAGAAATTGTGTGCTTAGTCCTTTGCTTTACCCAATATCGCACTATTTTTGCATATTTTTTGTTTTGTTCTGGTTTCTGAGGCGGCTGGATTTTTTTAATGAAGTCATCTGTGGTTTGTTTTTAATATTCTCCTGGTGATATACACTGTTAGTGTTTGCTGAGGCCTCTCTCAGGAAGGTGTTTCTTGTCAATGATAAACTGTGTAGTACTGGTGAAAGTGGATAAATGTGGGCCTGTGTCAGTTCACATTAAAATCAGTGAAACAGCTCCCATTGACTTCAGTGGGAATTGGACTGAGCTTCTCAGGTGGAATAATATTTTCATTTGTTATCTTATTAAGAATAATGCCTCATAAACAGCCCCAATGAGGGAGAGTCAAGTACTGAAGAGACTTGAAACTGTACAGGAAACTGCTAATATTCTTTACTTTTTCTTTAATCATTGCATTTGTTAATAGCACATCTTGGAGTTTAGTTCACTGCAAGACAAAACGGGTAAAGAGTTATTGTCATCTGGCTTGCCTGTGTGCAAGGAATCTGTGTTTATGGTTTGGGAGAAAAACTGTTTTCTATCATTTCACAAGTAATATTCTAGTATCTTACAAGCCAGAATGAGTCTGTTGACCTAACAAATTGAGAAATAATTTCCTGGAGCAGAAAACTTCTTTTCCAGAGTCACTCTGGGACACTGGCTCTGCATCAGGAACAATTAAGCAGGCTTCAGAGAGTGGGTAAAACTATGAGAAGCAGCCAAATTACCCCAAACACCCTTTCCCTTTTTTTGTGGTAACATTTTAACATGGGAGCTCTCCAAGGCCACTCACATCTGTTGTGATGGCCATGGATGCATGTAAGTGTCTCTCTGTACAAAATAATCTTGTGTCTCTCTTTCTCTCCTCTGAGCAACTGATAAACTATTACTTATTTCTCTGCACCTTTCAGATCCACACAGCAGAGTGTGCCTTACCTCAGATGATCAGGATGACCCCCTTAGCTCTTACATCAATGCTAACTACATCAGGGTAAGAGCTCAATAGTCCAATGTGTCTGCCTAGCCTCTGTCAGCCACTGTTAACGTAAACAGAACTGCAACATCCACTGGCTTTTAAAGGCATCCTAGCTAAACTGATTGCTCTTCTCTCCTGCTTATATTAACTGAAAAACAATTTATCTCAAAGTGCAACTGTACAGGTTCAGACCAGACAAAAGCACACTTCTGCACTTCTTGATGCAAATTGCTTGTCAGCTGGCCTGACCAAGGCACTGGATAATAAGCCTGAATAAGGCTCTTGACCTAGCCAGAGTCACCTCAAGGCTGTTGGACACTCATTGCTGGAATTACGTGAGTCCGTATTGTGCCTTTGCTCCATGTACACATGTGCAGGAGAGAGAGAGAGAGAGAGAGGGGAAGAACTGATTCTGTGGAGTCACCATTCCAACCAGTGGTAGCTCTCTGTTGTAAAGACTGGACCTTCAAGGTTGTGGTGGTCGTCCCTGTTAAAACTGATCTCTTGTTGTTTTGTTGGCAGGGCTATGGAGGAGAGGAAAAGGTATATATTGCTACTCAGGGACCGATAGTTAATACTGTCAGTGATTTCTGGAGAATGGTGTGGCAGGAACGTTCTCCCATCATTGTCATGATTACCAATATAGAAGAGATGAATGAGGTAATGGTTTTACATATAGTCTGTGTTTTTATCTATATTATAGCAGATATTTTTGTCATAGATGCTAAGCCAGTGAACAGAAGTTGAGTGTCAGTGGCCTGAGCAATCAGAGCCAGCCTTAAATTCTTCAGGCTCAGAGAATATGTGGGCTTCTCTTCCAGTGCAGTTTACTGTAAGTCTTGTTTTGCTGTCTGACTTACCCTACTGCTTCTTTTGCTATTTTTCCTCTCCCAGCTGACCTGAAACCTCTCCGAACCCAGCTCTATTTGCAGATGCTCTTTTAAGTTCTGTCTAAAGGAATCAAAACCAGTAGTACACCATAACTCCTAAGGTTGAATATCTTTAATCACAGAGTTGGTGCTGCTTTACCTTGCATTTATTATGATTCAGTGCCTATATCCACATTTCATTGAGGCTGTCCGTGGATTGTGAACAATGCTAGTTTACAATACTCAACAACTAGAGCCAACTTGGATACAGAAGACCTTTTCCTGAATGTGCCTAGGAAATGCTTTTGAAATACTGAAATTAAGATGCTGAAATTTTCTATTCACCACCTACTTCCAGAAATTAAACTGTCATGGTGTTTCTATTAATCCACCTAACGTAATTTTTGTTTGTGGTTTAATATACTGCTGCCCTCCAGCTGCTCATTACTTACCTGCTGAAATATTTGCCCCATAGCAGACTTGCAAGAACCATGTGCCTGGGCACAGACAAGTAGCTGAGCTTAGGTCTGCCTTCAATGGCAGTATTAAGATGTGAGAAAGTGGTCTGGGCATGTGTTGGACTCTGCATCCCCTCTCACCACAGGCAGCAAGGTGTAGTGGAGAGATCCAAGTTATGTTTCTTAAGCTGCAGCAGCAGTATTTGTCAAAGCGCATACCTGAGAACCCATTAGTAATTTAGGTGAGAGAGTTTCCTTTGGAGAAGAGGCTTCAGACACTTAGAAGCCCAAGAATATGGGCATACCTCTGTCATACATGGCATTATAACGACTTAAATGCTAGTTGGAAGCTCAGTGCCCATAATTATGCATGTGCGCAAACCTTTATCTTTCCCCAGTTGGGGATTTTAATGAAAAAAAGACATGAACAAGACAGACACAGAATTATCATGCTTTGCAAGTTAAAAATGATCAGTTATTACAGCTGGCTGATTGAATTGATGATGCAAAGTACCGTATGTTGCTGATCTAAATGCTTTGTTTGCACTAACATTTTAAACTCACATATGCCCCTGTCTGAGAGGCAGCATTGAAGTAGTAACTTGTTGATCAGAGTTGCCAGCTTAGGGCAAATAAGATGTTAAAATGTCATGACATAGTCCTTAAATGATTCTGGTACACTTTGAGGTTTAAAGATGATGATGCAGATTAAATACTGATCCTGAATGACACATCTGGTGAGAAGTTCTTCCGCTATAGTTTTCATAGCACGATTGCCTAATAGGAATGTAAAGTAACCTTTACATTTGAATTTCCTCTTGTGCATGCTGAGCAAGTATTTCACCCATCATCTCAGTCTTGGGAAGCAGTGCACTGCAGTGCTGATGCACTATACAACAGGAGCTTGCTGCAGCCTATATATCATAACAGAGCTGCTCAATCTTTTCTGATACCTTTTGTGTCAAAAATTAAACAGTGTCAGGAATCTCAGCCATAAATGTAGGGTAAGTCCTTTCATGTAAATGTCTCCTATATTAATTCCCTTTCTTCCATAACACATATATTAATATATGAATAACAAGACTCAGAAGTACGTAGATTCAAAACCAAAACCTTTCTTCGGCAAAGATGCTAGTAACAGAGGCTTTGCGTTCCTCCTCAGTGCAATGACTTTGCTAATGTGAGTATTAAAAGCTCTGTATCTCAGCCCTCTGTCACATCTAATCTGAACTGACAAACAGCCCACAGAAATGAGTGGGCAATCTTACTCCACGCCTTTAAGCAGAGCAATGTCTGTGCTATTGATAGCTGCTAGCGCTTTTGACATTTTTTACAATGGATTCTTCAGTTTAAGAGGATAGGAAGAATTTGCGTAAATAATTTTAGAGACACAGTGGGCCACATTCCCAGTGGGTTATTAACTGCTGTACTATGCAGATGGAACAACACTGATTATCCTACACAAAAATTTTCACTCTAACTTTGCAAGATACTTTTCTGTTGTTAGTCTTTCTCCTGAAGTGCAATTATTTTTAGTGGGGGAGAGCAAAATGATTTAACTTGCTTCCTTCAAGATTGTGTAGAGCTGTGTAAAAAAGGAGGCTTTAACTGGGTTGGTCCAATAGCAGGTTCTTATTCTCCTGTGATAATGAGATTGCTTCTTCCATTATCACAAGGGAGCCTTTTTCTCAGACCCTGCCTTGTTCATGTCATGCCTTGTTCATGTCATTCCTTGTCCATGAGCTAGTTCATGCACAGTGTTGAAGTGCTTGTCTCTTCCTTTGCTTATTGATTAGTTTAAAGAGAAACCACATACCAAAAAACACAGTCTTTTTCAGTCCTCCTTCCAGGATAGGAGTGCTTACAAATTCTCACCTACTCATGTCTAGTGTATCAATACCACAATGTAGACTGATAGCAAGTGGACTATAGTTTGTCCTTCTCTAATTGTCAGGTTGTTCTGGCTGCATCTCTGACTGTTTTTTGGCAAAATCAAATGTAGGAGTCTAATAGGTCTCACAGCTATTGCTTCCTTTTAGTTCCTTAGCTTTGAAAGATTCTCAGTGTCCATTTAAAGTAGATTTTGATACATAATCTAATTCCCAAAATATCCCCAGTCATGTTTTGTACAAAAACCTATGCAAATTATTATCTTATAAAGGGTCAATGCTCTCTGAACAGAGAAAAAAATAGAAAACATATATTTTGTTTCTATATCAGTGTATGCACACCACAGAAATATTGGTGACTCGTGTGTATTATACTAATCATTATTATCTTAAGAAAAGGATTAATCAAAAAACAGGCACATGGCCACTGGCTTTTCTAATGAACCTTCAAAGTGCACATCATTTGCATAAAGATAAATAAGGATGAGTGTATTTAAAAGCATTGGTTAGTCATTACTTGATTTGTGCATTTTTAATCATGCAATCAGGCTATTATGAATGCAGCAAAATTCACCTGAAATGCAGTCCCTGTTTAGAAAGTGAAAACTTGTACTTATTATAGAAACAACACTCATTCATATTCATCTATGCATGGACTATATCCAATTTCAGAGGAGTAAAAATGAACCTTTTGTGATATCTGCTTAACTAGATTTATTTTATATTGTACACAGAAATGCACGGAATATTGGCCAGAGGAACAGGTCACCTATGAAGGAATAGAAATCACAGTTAATAGAGTTATACAAGCAGATGATTACCGTTTAAGGCTCATCACCCTAAAGGTAAATCATTCCAATGTACCTACAGTAATTTAGCTGTTTAAACCCTTAAATGGAGATGTTCATGGAGAGTTGTCTAGAAATCTTCTGCACAGTGTACTGTTGTACAAGTACCATGTTTCATTACTGAAGTCATTATAGCTTTGCCCAGTTTGCCAACATATAAAAACTACAGTAAAACAAGCAGTCAGAGATTTAGACTGCATATGTACAACATGAAACTACCAGGCCAATTGTAGTAGTACAGGATTCACTCAGTAGAATAAACCAGTGACTCATTCTATGCCTGTGTCTTCTGTGTTGACTGGTCATTTAGAGTGACATGTTATCTCACAGATAGCTTCTTACCAGCCTTTGCAAGTCAGACAGACAGCACTTGTGGAATAACCCGCTAAACTCTGTGATGGTGTTCTGTAGAATTCAAAGGTTTGTTTATTCTTTGAGCCATGGACTTAGGCAAAAGGTTACTGATTACTAACAAGGAACTTCTGCCTGCATGACATCTTACATATTTTGTAGTATGGGAAGACCCCTAAGAAATATTTAGGTTGTGCTTCTTGTCTTTTCATAATAATTATTAGGATGCTGTCACAGTGCTGGATACCTGCCAGCTGTTCAGACCTAAGGTGACTTGTGCTACTAACAAGAAGTGGGGGAGTTGAGAACTGAGCAAAAGCCTTTTTAGTTTTGCTTGCTATTTTCAGTTTCAGCAGTGGGACTACTGGTCTGCTTGGCACTTGTCAGTGGTGTGGTAGCACCACTTCTGTTCACCATGGCTGAACCCCTTTTAATAGGTACCTTGCTAACTTATTCTTTGAGCGATTTGGCTGACTTGACTTTGAACATGCTTTGAGGGGCCATTCCACTCCAAGACACTAAAACTGTTGATGACCTTTAAAACCACTTTCACCACAGCATACCCCGTGCTTACATTTCTAAACATTAGTATCTTTCCATCTAACTGTATATGTAGTTTTACATACCAGTAACTATTCTGTCATCTTGTGGATGGAGAGTTTAAACACAGATTTAATTTTTTTAAATACTTAGATGATACTTAGTCTAAAGTTTCAGAGTCCTATTTTACAACTATTTTCATTGTTAGGTTCTAGAATCTCCAGCTATGTGTTTATTTACATAAACTTTATTCATCTTTCATCGACTAGATCTTCCCTTGACCTCACTATAACACGACAATTTCTTTCCAAGCTGAAAAAATTCTCCTTTTATCCAACCAGTTTCAAGTCTCTTCAGCCATATGCTAATAGACAGAAAGCCAGCATATGAAATCCCATTTCTGAACTGAGAGTGTGGAAAGTCTGTCACTCATGTTTTTGGCAAAGGCAGCAAGGAGAAAAAATCACACTACCTGACAAGTGGGAAGTAAAGAATATTTACAAGTATGTTGCGGTCTTGCAGAAGTCTTAAATACAATTTATCCAAAACACTACAGTGCAGCAGCAAGAATAATACACAGATTAATTCTGCTGGAATACTGATATCTAACAGAACTGGTCACTTTTTAGTTATGGTAACAAAACAAGATTTCCTCAGTAAAACACTACACTGTCTGCCAGAAGAGTTTTTCATAATTGTTTTAAATTGTTAAATATAGCATTTTAATATTGGCAAATATTGCAATTTTTTTTTCAGCTTCACATTAACTTTAGAGATTTAAGTTGAAATGGTCTTCCTTGCCCCCTCCTACTCCCTCCTCCCCTCCAAAAAAAAACCCCCATTTTCTCTATATATTTCTGGAAGGAAATTTGGTTTTCTCACTGGGGAAGGATCATTCAAATTCTTCTCAGGAAGGTAATAGCCAGTTCCATTTGCAGATGGGAATTGCAAGGGAATGGCTTTTAATATCGATATTGCAGTAGTATATCCAAAAAGCAATCTCACTTTAACAAGTGTTGCACAAAACAAAGAAACAGTCCTGAAGAGCTTAAATATAACAATTCAAGCGCAATAAGCCATACTCCCATCTCACAAGTACCTTTCATGCTAATAGTCATACCTGCTGAATGTTTTATTCCAACAGCAACCTCTCAGTGTTTTCCCAAATTCTCTTGTCCCTGCTTAGTTCTTCCTTAGGTGAAGCTCTCCATGTTAGAACTAAGGAGCTTCAGAATTTAGAGTCAAATATGAATATCTTTTCTGTATATGTAACTGTGTATCCCACAGGGGGGAAAACCCAACAACCAGCAAACTGAAGGCCAGATTATTTGTCAGGGCTGGCATATCCACTATGTTCAGGCACTAACAGAAAGCAAAAATGAATAGCTGGGGTAGCAGAGTATGGCGAAGTCATAAGGAAAGAAGTAGAGAAACTACACATTTTTCCCAGTCACAGCCAAGACAGACAAGTGCTTTCCTATCACAAATGATACGAAAGTCTTTACTGGATGTACAGGTCTCCAAGGATTTAGTTTTTCCCTACTCAGATGACTTGATCGTTTTGATTATTTTCTTTAAGCTCATCCCAGTTTGTTTTTCAGTTACACAATACTCTTTTTTTTCAGTACTAGTGGGACAGTGTCGATTTCCTCCCATGCCCAAATGTCAGGAGGTAAACTGCTGAGTTCTAGAGCTGAAATAAAGATTCCATTTGTTCGGTTACCTTTGCCTAGAGCTGTACATTTGTCATTTAATAGCAATAGTGGAGTAGCAGCTCCAGACTATATGTTTGTTAAATGACTTGGTAGCGAAAACTAGAGATGCCATAAATTGACTCCTGTTTTCCATTAAGATACCACCACCAGCAATATATGATTACTGTATGTGTTACAGGGTGGACTATCATACTGTTCTCAGAATAGAGGACTGGATTTGGCAAGCTTTAGGAATTTAGAAAATGCTCAGGCAATAGGGCAAGGCTTGTTTTTCTTTCTCAAAGGAACCTGCCAGTGTCTAGCCACTGGTTCATGATCTCAGCCTCTGCTACAGCGTAAATGATGGTAGACTTCAAACATTCAATTAAGTCATGCTTCCTCCTAGGTGTTCCCAAGTCTTCTCAGTCTCAAGGAAGCACCAATAGAGAATATTTTGTTGAAGTTAAAGCAGAAGCGTACAGAACCACAGAAGTCAGGGTTCTCTAAGCAGAAGCATAAAATTGGCAACAGCATAGACAAAACTAAAGACATCCAGAGTTCATCATTAGAACTTTGGCTCTTTTCTGCTTCTGTCAAATAAGTGACTTCATGTAATGATTCATGTTTTTATTCAGATGACTTTTATCTGCTACTTTTAGTATTATTGACAACATTTTTATTATAATTTTTCACAACCCACTTAATCCAATGTTCATAACTTCTGTGGCTCACACATAGTCAGGCAACTGTGTATGTTCATGTTTCAGAGCAGTGTTGAAATTTGGTCAGATTTACTGTAGTGAGCTCAAGTACTATTCATGACAACTAGTTATGCTCTCTTAACCTGATTATCTCATCATCTCATTAGGGTAAATAACCTAACCTGTGACACGATAGTAAGACTCTCTTTTCCTAAATTGAGCTTACCCTTGAGGTTCCTATGGCTGTGCTTCAATGAGCAGTGTAAGCTGGAACAGCAACCAAATGAAGCCCAGCTTCCCTTTGTCCAGCAATCTTGTTCCTACCTGTGTGCCATCTCTCATGTGCCCACACAAGCGTTTATGTGACTTTGTTAAGCCAAAGGGGGAAGCTGATCAATGCATCTGAAAATTAATCCAGCATGAGAAAGAAAAAAAATTTAACTAGATCGCTTCCCCAGTCTAGTTCACTGTGAAGCTATGCGAAATCTTTGTCAACCAAAGAGAAGGATGGAAAGTGGCACAACCACAGAGCACTTTTAACAGCCAATGACTGACAGTGATAGGGACTTAAGAGTATAGCTGACAAACTATTTCCAGATTTTTGTGCCCTTTTCTTTAGAAAGAGACAAATTTGTTCTCTTTTTCCTCGACTCTTAAACTCAGCCAGCCATGTGTTTAAGGGAAGGTTGTGGAAGTTAACTCTTCTGTTCCCAAACCTTTTGAAGCCATTTGCTTGACCCTATGCCAGCTGGCTTATCTAGTGGTTGAAAGGTTCCCTGAGCTCCATGTTGCTGTTTGGCACCTTTAGAAATCACGCAGAAGGATGTCACTTTGAACACACAAAATCAGAAGCTCACAGTGCTACTTGGCACTCAGAAAAGGTAACAGCACATTTGCTGTATTCATAGCCATGCTGAGACATAGAGAGAATTGGAATTTGTGTCTCTCAAAAAGCGCTGGACTGCAGCTAGATACAATTCCCACCTTCCGTAGTGTCTCTGAATTTCTCACCGTGTCTAAGAGAAGAGTAGAATTGACAGGAAACTGATATGAGTCTGTCTGTCAGAAGAGATAGCAAAATAAGCTCCCCTCTCTCTCCCTCATCTATCTAGCTATCAGAGACAGAAATATGGCTCCTGGCTCTCTGTCTGTCAAATACATTATAAAAGCAATTATGTCACAAGCAAAGCTCTGGCTTTGCTGAATGAATCTGTCAAGAGGGAACAGGCTGCCTGGAGTGTTTTGCGCACAGCTCTTGGCACTAAAAGAGCAGCATACTTTGGCGAGGTGGGGGGGATTATTTTTTTTAAGGCAGTTTACTGAAGTGCAGACATGATATTTGAAATCCAGATTTCTATGTTGTGTGGCTTGCCATTTGGATCTCCCGTTCCATTTAGCATTGATTTACTCATCTCATTCTTAAAGGGAAGGCTGGGTTTCAATATTAATTTAAAACTTTGTGGTGTTTGTCTTAACTGGATTGCAGAAAGGAGAAGAAATCAGAAAACTGAAACATTACTGGTACACATCTTGGCCAGACCAGAAGACACCAGATCAAGCACCCCCTCTGTTACAGCTAGTACTGGAAGTGGAAGAGGCAATGCAGAGTGCAGAAGAGAAGAACGCCCCAGTGATTGTTCACTGCAGGTAAATAAACGTTGTATCTGACTTTTAAGGGCTTCTTTGCATATAATGGCATAGTGCAGATGCTGTCATATTGGCCATCAGTCAGAGGTGGGGGAGATCTTGCCCAACTGCTTTTGAAATATGCTTGGAACTTCTAAAATTTAATGATAATAATTTTCTATTATCAAGTGTTGCAATCAGATACAGACTGAGCTGAACAGAGAAGCTGGTGGTGGCTGAGTTACAAGTAAGAACAGTATAACTTTATTTACCTTACCAGCAATATATGCCTTTAACGATCTTAAAAGGGCTAAATCAAAGATTAACACACTGAGCGAAATCAAGTAGGAAGACACATGCAAGCAGAAAAATGAGAAGATTCCTTCTTTGATTTTAAAAAATTCCTGATTAGGCCGAAGATAATAATTCAAGTGTAATACATAAAACAAATGAAACAGTGGCAAAGCTGATTTGCAGCACGTACTTACTAGCAGACAGGAAATGTATGCAACTGATAGCAAAATGGAAATATCTGTGAAAAGCCACTGGCAAAGATGAAAACTTCTTATATGGAAGAAGCAAAATCCTTACAGTGGTTTGAAGCCTGATGAGAAAATTGTAATTATCAATCACAGAGGAGAAAAAATAGATGAAGATAGATACTTCTCTTCCGTTTTCAGAAAAAAATAGGATCATACAGACATGATGAAGTACATTCCTTTGTACTGCTAAGTAGGGAATGTGTTAAGTAACAACTGCTAACCATTATTAAATCAGCTATACTAGATGATTTTCACCCAACAGTGTTTAAAAAAAAATTGGTCCACAGGCTCTAAACCATTAAACTTTAGTATAGCTGAGTTCCAGTTCTTGGAAAATTGGAGAAGTTCCAGAGGTCTAAAAGCAAGTCCAGTTGTGCTAGTGTTTAGAAAGGTTAAATGTGATTACTTGAAAACTACAAGTTGGTTCTCAAAACAATTATTCCAGGTGAATAGTGAAAGCCTTGTAAGTGATGCAATAATCTTGCCAGGATAATCTTCCATAATTTCAATAAAATACATTTTGCCAAATTGATCTTTGGGATTTTTGTAAGGAATTTTACCTAGCTTTGCATAATGTTTTCTAGGAAATGGTGGACGGTTGCTATCCAGAAGCCATAGTAAATGGGGTATTATCATACAATGGGAATGTTTTTAAAGAGACTCTTCGCATGAATGGTTGGTAGCCTGGTGTCATCAAAGATCCACCTATAAGCTAAAATGGAGTAATCGCTAGTATAATGTTCGTATGATGACACATGTCCAGTTTTTCTGCCTGTGTTTTAAAACAGATTTTGATAAATTGGGGAGAGTTCAGAGAAAAATAACAAATGGTTTGTAAGAAGGTCCCCTTTGCCCTTGGAAATCTGTGACTCTCTAAGAGCTCCTTGAAGTATTATGGTATTTGCTGCAGGTAAAGATTCTGGTCACCATGTCACTCTTGCTTTGCATACTTGTTTTGTCCTCTTGTATGGTGTCATCCCCATGACACAGTAATAATTTGGGGGGAAATGGGGCATTTTTATTTGAAATAACTACTAGGTGACATGGTGATAGGATTATGAAGTATTTTATGTTATAACTGTGGACCAGAACCCTTTCAGGTTATTCTCAATTGCAGTCATTTTATCTGAAGAAGGAATTTAATATATTGTGTCTATTTGATGGTGGTATATACAGCAAGCCATTAGCCAAGGCCTGTGTTATGCTGAGTACTGTAGCTCCTTTGGCCATTGTGTGAGATCCTCGGTAGAACATAATCACTGTCATTTTGGCCTTCAGTGATGTAAAATAACACACCTTTAAGAAAAAAATAGATGCAAACCTAAACATGAAGCTGTTAGAATCATAGAATAGTTTGGGTTGGAAGGAACCTTTAAAGGTGATCTAGTCCAACCCCCCTGGAGTGAGCAGGAGCATCTTCAACTTGATAATGTTGCTCAGAGCCCTGTCCAACCTGACCTGGAATGTTTCCAGAGGTGGGGCATCTACCACCTCTCTGGGCAACCTGTGCCAGTGTTCACCATCCTCATTATGAAAAATTTCTTCCCTCTATCTAGTCTGAATCTGCCCCCTTTTAGTTTAAAACCATTACCCCTTGTCCTATTGCAATAGGCCCTGCTAAAAAGTCTGTCCCCATCTTTCTTATAAGCTCCCTTTGAGTACTGAAAGGCTGCAGTAAAGTTACAGTATCACTAAGGTTGGAAAGGACCTTCA